GAAATTATTTTTTATATTATGTATCACGTATATTGCATGAGCGGGTGATCGTGGTCATTGGAAATAAAAGATATTGGCTAGTTATAATTTTTTTAGTATGGGGTTATTTCGTCATATATTATTTTATGCAGGCATAATTTGACAATATATTTGAGAATCGTCAAATAGTAATGGGAGATATATCCAAGATCGTTTACATTCTGACTTCTGGGCCTGCTATCGATTATAGATTCCACTTCCTTTTTGCAATCGGGCCTTGAACATATTGATAAAGTCAAGGAATTATGTAATTTTGCCTGGCGGTGACAATCACCACTGGTGAACTTTAGCAATACCCTTTAAGGTTATTACACAAACCCGTTGTGATACTTAATTTTTATGATAAAAGATAATCTCGAAAAAATTGATATTTAATTATTTTTTTTTAAAATAAGTAGTACATGATAATGGCAGGTATATATGAAAAATACGAAAGTCCTTTAACTTCAAGATATGCCTCTCCAGAAATGCAAAAGCTTTTTTCACCTGCGAAACGATTTTATACCTGGAGACTATTATGGTTGAATTTGGCCAAAGCTGAAAAGGAATTGGGACTTGAAAGTATAACGGAAGAAGCTATTCAGGAAATGGAAACTCATTTGGTAAAAATATTTTATTTTTCGATTAATTAATGATTTCCTATTTTTTATAATTACTTACTACATTTGATTTATAAATAATATCAATTTTCATGTTAATTTATTAATTTTACTAGTTTTTAACTGAACAAGATTTTATAAATGCTGCTATCGAAGAAAAAAAAACTCGACATGACGTTATGGCACACGTGCATGCCTTTGGTCAGGTTGCGTCCAAAGCTTCAGGCATTATTCATTTAGGGGCTACCAGTTGTTATGTGACGGATAATGGAGATTTAATTATAATGCGAGAAGGTCTGGAATTATTATTAGAAAAATTAGCTCGAGTTATTGATAAATTTAGTAAATTCGCCCAAGAATATAGAAGTTTACCTACCTTGGGGTTTACACATTTTCAACCTGCTCAATTAACTACTGTTGGTAAAAGAGCGACTCTTTGGATTCAGGTTAGAAAATATATATTTTATCTTTATTATTATTATTATTATTATTATTATTATTACTATATTTCCTAAAAAAATTTTTAACAGGAATTATTGTGGGATATGAGAAATATAACAAGAGCTAGAAATGATCTTGGATTCCGTGGTGTTAAAGGAACCACAGGAACTCAAGCATCATTTTTGGCATTGTTCGAAGGTGATCATGATAAAGTAAGTGAAGCGAGTAATTTAAATAGTTCATAATAAATTCTAAAATTTAATACCAAAAAATTTAATATAAAAAATTAGGTGGAGGTTTTGGATAAACGCGTTGCCGAACTTTCCGGATTCAAACAATTATATGTAGTCACCGGACAAACGTATTCACGTAAAATAGATGTCGACTTGTTAAATGTATTAAGTTCATTTGGAGCCACCGCGCATAAAATTGCTACTGACATAAGATTATTAGCAAATCTTAAAGAAATCGAAGAACCATTTGAGAAAGATCAAATTGGTAGTTCTGCTATGGCTTATAAAAGGAATCCAATGAGATGTGAAAGAGTCTGTGGTTTATCAAGACATTTAATGATACTCGCACAAGATGCTTTGATGACTAATAGTGTACAATGGCTGGAAAGAACTTTGGATGATAGGTAAATTATCGTTATTTTCTTATTCATCTATCACTATCCCATTTTTTATATTATTTACTATTTCATTAACATTTCATTACTATTTATTATCATTAATTATTATTATTTCATTTGTCAGTTCTAATCGACGTATTTCGATCCCTGAAGCATTTTTAACAGCCGATATAATATTATCATTATTACAAAATATTTCTGAAGGATTAGTTGTATATCCCAAAGTAATTCAATATCACATCACGCAAGAATTACCATTCATGGCTACAGAAAATATTATTATGGCTATGGTAAAGAAAGGGGGAGATAGACAACAATGTCATGAAGAAATTAGAGTTTTAAGTCATCAAGCTGCTGATAAAGTTAAAGGAGAAGGCAAAGAAAATGATTTAATTGAAAGGATTAAATGTACTGGATATTTTAAACCGATCTGGAATGAGGTATAATTTAAAGATTATTTAATAAAAAAAAAAAAAAGATTATTCTTCGAGTTCTAATTGTTCCACATATTTTTATTACAGCTTGATTCTTTATTAGACCCCAATACATTCATTGGACGTTCACCACAACAAGTTGATAAATTTATAAAAGAATGTGTGGAACCAGCATTAAAACCACACGAAGAAATATTAAAACAAGATCGAAAAATAATTTTAAATGTCTGAAATATTATGTATATTTATGTAACATATATATATATAATCTTTTAAGATATTTGGATGAGAAAAATATTCAAGGTTAGTTTTCTGATCTAATTTTTTTTTATTTATTTGAGATAATGATGATAAAAATTTTTGCACGTCAGGCAGAATCACAAAAATGTTGACGAAAAAATTCTATACCCAAATTTCTGAATCTCAATCAAACATTATGATAATAAATATTTATATTACTATTTCTTTTCTTATCTAATTTCATGACAATAGTTTTATTAATTTTATTTAAATTTTATCTATTTTTTTCAATTATTAAGAATGAATTTATAATGAATATTTATTTAAACAAATCTTTAACAACATCCATCGTACTCATCTTATTGGTTAGTTGTTCATCTATGAACGAAAATTGAAAATAATTGAAAATAATTGAAAATAATTAAAACAATTAATAATTAAATATTAGATAAATATAGAATTTTATCATTACCTTTACTTATAGATTGATGTTTTTCTTCATTTTTACGCTTAATAAATTCCGATTTCCTTTGTAATGTACTCAATAATTTTGGTACTAAAAATATTTTAATATTATATATAATTTATAAGATTTATAAGATTTATAATAATATTTATAACATTTATAAGAATACATTTTTAGAATATCATTTTCATTATTATTGAGATCAAAGATATTTATTATTACTTACACAAAATTCTCATTTTAGAAATTTCATCGATCACAGGTGAATTTCGAGTAATTAAATTTTGTTGAATGTGATTTGAATTATTTAATGGTTCCATGAGTTTATGAAGATTCTTTAAAATCATTAAAATTAAATGATTATTATTATTATTATTATTATTATTAAAATTGGGTTTAAATAATAACTTATTTTATATTACCTTGTAATATTCATACTTCTCTTTCATTGCGATATAATTTGTTTGTACATTATATACAAGTGATCTCTTTTCTTCATACCTATTGATTTTTAAATATTTTTATTAATTAACTCAAATTCACCAAATTTATAAATAATTTATTAATAATAATCAGCTTTTACGTTACGATAATTACTCATCTAATTTCTCCAATTTCTCTTCATCGAATTCCTCCAATTGAGGTGGCCATTCCTCTGGAAATGATTCAATCCATCTATTTATAAAAAAAATAAAATAAAATAATTATATACGTGTGTGCATAAATAAAATTACGCGTCAAAAAAAAAAAAGATATGACATAATAATACTTTATATTATCATAATTTGGCTTTATCTCTACATTAATCCGACCATCTAATAAATCCTTAAGTTTTTGACGACGAATGATGGAAAGTTGTTCAATTACTTGACGAATGGTGTGACGATTAAAAATTCGTTTATTTTCTATTCTATTGCTATTATTTACTTTTTTTAAAAAAAAAATTAAAAAAAGATACACTTAATATAAAAGAAGATACTTTGTTTGCTAGAATAAAATAAACAACTTTTCTGAATTTTTTACATTTATTTACAGCATTATTTACAATACTCATATTCAAAGGTTCCTCTGCAAATTTATTTTCCGATATCCATTTCTTTGAAGGATGAAATTCTTGCGTAAGAATTTCTATTTGGGATTCTATAAATGATTGTTTTTGAAGGCAATAGTCTTGATCCACTTGATCCATCACGCTTACAAATTAAATTTTTATTGTGTATAATAATAACAGATAAAAACCGTACGCGTTATTGTTGTTAAAAGAAATATTAATATTTATTTTTAAATACCACGTGACTTTAAACATCAAATTTAAATTAAAAATCACTATATTTGGTAAATAACAATAGAATATATATTACTTTATACACTAACTACATTCGGAAATTTTATTCAACCTATTGCGTCATTAAAGTTATAAATTTATAAATTTGAACCATTTATTAAGAATATAATTAAAAATATATAAAAAAAATCATGTTCGTTTCATGAATCGCTTAAGTCTCATTAGATTATAGAATTAGGTCTCTCGCTTTATATTCATGGATTGTCCAAAATCTTCCAACTAAATAAATAAATATTTATTTAATTATCATTCAATAATTACTTTGATATTTCTTAAATATTTTTATTTATTGTACTCACCTTTACCATCAAATTATTCAAATTATTCATCAAATTATTTAAATCTTGTTCTTTTTTAGCAAATCGTTCAGAATTACGTTTGAAATTCTCTTCTGAATCTTCAGTTGTTTCTCTGCTAAGTGATCTTTATTAAAGTTTCAAGGTCTTAATTTTATTATTATCAATTATTATTATTATCAATTATTATTATTATTATTATTATTATTATTATTATTATTATTATTATTATTATTAATTATTATTATTAAAAGATTGAATAAATAATAACTATAAAAAAAAAAAAGTAAAACCATAAGATATTTTAATACAAACATTTCTTCATCGGGTAGGTTTTCCAATGCTATATGCTCAATAGCCAAAGCGATCTGTTTTCTACGTATTAAATCTAACTCTTCAAATATACTATCCGAATTATCTCCTAAATAATAAAAATTTATCATAAAAAAGTGTATTTCTAATCTTCACCGGGGGAGAGATTACTCTACCCTATTAACATTAACCTTAATTCTTTATGCTATAAAAATCTTCCCGGTTACGTATAGTATTTTTCTCATATACAAATATCAAATTTTCTAACCAAACACTCTCAGTTCGCCATTTGTGTACATTTTATCCATTTTCTTAAAACCATTTTCAAGTATATCTGATACATTCTCATGTTCCACACGAGGATGATGAGTATTAGTACTAGTTGAAGTTGTTGAAGTTGAAATTGTTGAAACTTGCGGTGGTGTTGTATTCATTTTTTTATAAATAAATCCAGGTATATGATGACAAAGTTTACGTTGATCGGTCGATCACTCGGTTATCTCTTTATATCATCCATGTTTGTGTAACAAATATTATTTTTTTTATTTATTATAAGAAAAAATATGTAATTGGAGTATTTACAACATTCCTGGTTCCAATTTCCAATTTCCAAGAGAGAAGGTAAGTGTAAATAAGGGAAGAGGTAAATAACTTTTTATTTTTTTAAAAAAAAAATATTTAAATAAAATTGGTGTAACTACTTTATTACAAAGTTGTTATAAAGAAAAAAGTCAAGTTTGAAAATAAACTTTTAAATCAGAATATGTAAACAAAATTATTATTTAAAAATTGGCAAAGTTGAATTTAACATAATTTACCAATTTCAACTATTGGCAAATTATTCTTGAATTGATCTAGAATTACAAAATCTATTTTTTTTTTCATTTGACCTGTTATAATTCTCTTTTAATTTTATTATATTTTAAATATATTATTATTATATTATTATTATATAATGTATTGTTATATATAACATGAGAAATTCTAATAAAGAAAAGAGAGATATTTCTTTTCTGAAATTGTTTTATTCCTGTTTTCAGTTGTTATAAAATTAGAAATTATTGTTAATACTAATATAATACAGAACTTCTATAATAGGAACTTAGAAAATCTTAAATAAAATTTAATTCAATGTTCATATTTTTTTTATATTATAATATTTTAATATATACATTTGGAGGAATCTATTTATGAAAAAAATTTTTCTCAATTTTCATGGTTTTTGTAAGTATCACATAATGCAATTTTAACTAATAAAAGTTCAAGAAAATATATTCACATGTTTATATAAAATTATAAATTTTATTTTTTTATTCTCAAACTTTTGTCAATAGTATTTTAACAGATACAAAATATCTAAAATCATCAGAAATCCTTTTTTAAAATAAAATTATAATAATTAATTATTTTTAATATATTCTCAAATTTGATATATATAATTAAATACAAGAACTTCAACTTTAGTAAAAGTTAATTAATTTAAGTTAGATTAAAATTTTAATTAATAATTTTAAAAATTTAGGTTCTGAACTATTAATTTCTATAATTAAATTTTTATTTCTATATATAGCAAATACAGTTTTAATATGAAAAAGCTAAACAATTTTTATTATAATTAATTTTCTATTATAAAGGTTTCACACTGTAATTCCATTTACTTTATTTATTTATATAAAGTGAAAACTTTCATTTTATAAAATTTTACATTAAAAAAACTTAACTCACATACCTGTGCAAATTAAATTTACTAAAAGGTAAAACTAAAGAAGCTATACTAACTGAGTATATAGAATTTAAGATTAAAAATATCAAATTTTAAAATGAATTATAAAAAAATATGTCAAAAAATATACAGGTCAAATATAAAAGATATGTTATATCAAAAAAGAATTTTGATTTTAGTTAATCTATAATATAAAATACAATAGGACAGTTGATTTTTACCGATTTTAGTTAATCTATAATATAGAAATCATCATTTGATATAGTAATTCTTTTATATTTGACTAGTAATAAAGCTAATATAGTAAAATTAAAACCTGATTTGTAATATTTAATCCTTTTTGAATATGTTAAAGTTATAATTCTTCAAAACAAGAAATACAAAAATAAGAAACTAGAATTTAAGAAAAATTATAAGTTCCAGACTAAATACATTAATTAAAAAAATTTTTAATAAGAAATCAATAATTGAGTATTAACTTCCTTTTTCAAATGAATTAAAACTTAATACCTTTTGTAATAAATTTACTAATTTGTTAATTTATAAATAAGAAAATAAATAACAATAATTATTTATTAACCATAGAAATAATATTAACAAATATTATTTTAACAAAATAGATTGTAATTAAATTAATTGACAAAAACTTATTTGCTTCTTTATTATTTATATACTATTTATATAAAAATACATAATTATTGTTACATAATATAAATATATAATAAATATATTTTAGATTTTATAAGACAATCTGAATAGTTGTATATGATAAAATATATAAAAAGAAAATATAAATAAATAAAGATAAATGATTAATACATGAGATTAACTATATTGTAAATCTATTGTATATCAAAGTTAATCACATATGTTATCATTCATTATCAAAATAAAAAGATAAAGTAAAAATAATAAAATAAAAAAATAAAATAAAATGAATAAAATAAAATAAAATAAATAAAATAAGTACTCATCAATTATATAAACTAAGGTGTAGTCGAAATTGTTACACCTTCTTTCAAAATATAAAATTATATTAGAGGTACAGGAAATTTAATATTAACATTATTTAGTGATAAAGATTAAATCTTATAGTTTAGGAAAAAGTTAAAACTGAAATTGTTTTAAAGAGAGATTTAGCTTTTTATATAATTTGCCAAATTCTAAAATTTTAAATTTTGCTCAAACTTCTTAAACTATTCTAAACCTTCAAAACTATCTTAAACTTCTTAAACTATCTTAAATCTTCTATATAATTCTAACTTATAAGAATCAAAAATAATTTGTTATTGTTATTATATATAAAATTTTTTATTTTAATAAGACAATATTAAAAATATTGCTGAATAATCTTAAAGATAAAAATAAAATATATATTTTTAAAAAGAACAAATCTATATTGTTAAAATTGAGAAAACTATAAGTAAATAAATTTGAAACAGGAAAAAAATTTAAAAACAATTACTATTTATTTAATTTTGATGAAATCAACTTATAATTTTTATAAAAGGTATAATTAATTTTTGTTTTTGAGATTATTTAGTACTGTTTTTGAAATTTACTTATAAAATAAAATATTTTATATATGACAATGATTAATAATTTTATATATAATTATATAATTGTTATAATAGAATCCTAGATAATATATAAATAAATAAAATTTTTATGAGATATCAAATAAATTTATAATTTATAATCAAAGTAATTTAATTTAGATAATTATTTCACAATATAATATTATATAAAATTTTAATATTACATGATATAATATTAATTATTTATTTTTATAAAAATATAATAAATTACAAATGAAAATAATTTATTATCATTGTAATATATAAAACTTTCTAATTTATTAAGTAAGAATTAAAAATAATACTAAGTAATCTCAAATACAAGAATAAATTATATTTTTTGTAAAAATTTTAGATCTATATATTTAAAATTGAAAGAATTATAAATGAATAATTATCTTGTTTACTTAACTTTAATCTTATAAATCTAAAATTTTTACAGAAGATATATATTATTCTTATTTTTTAAATTACTTAGTATCATTTTGATATTTACATATTAAAATAAAGTTTATATATTGTAACGATAATAAATTATTTCTATTTTGTAATTTATAAATATTTTATAAAGTTACACAATAAATAAAAATTATCAAAAGAACAAATTAATTATATTATGAAGTACATTTTATAATTATTATAATCTCTTTACTTAATTTTTTTTTCAAATATTTTGAAAATATCTATTATACATTTTAATTTTATAACTATAATAAGATAATAACTTATTAATATTATTATAATTATTTATAAAATTATATAATTTTAAGCAAATAAATATTATGACATTAAGAAATTTTTGAAAGCAAATATATTCAAATATATTTGCTTACTCATATATTTATTTACATAAATAATATTAATCTACATTAATCTACATTTATCTACATTAGTTTATATTATATTAAATATATTTAATTTTTATTAATTGTAAATATATCTGTATATATTTGTGAGTAAAATTTTTCTAATAAAGTTTAAAAATTTCTTTATATGATAATTAAAAAAATTTTATTTATCACTTATATATATATTATTTGAATTCTGTTATAATTATATATAAAAATAATAATTAACCTAATTATATATAAAATTGTTAATTAATATCACATATAAAACTTTTTATTTTATAAATAAATATTAAAAACAGTACTAAATAAACTTAAACATTAAAATAAATTATATTTCATGTAGGAAATACAAATTAATTTTATTAAAATTAAATAAATCATAACCATTTTAAATTTTTTTTATTCAGTTTAACTTTAACTATTTATAGTTTTCTTATTTTTAAAATATATATCTATTCTTTTTATAAGAGATATAGTTCATTCTTATCTTTAAGATTACTTAGTACTATTTTTAATATTGGTTTATTAAAATAAAAAGTTTTATATATAGTAATGATAATAAATTATTTTTAATTTATAAATTATAGATTTTTTAATAATCATATTACAAAATATATCTAAACTTAATAGTATTATCATTTACTAATAGGAAGAATGAAAAATTAATTTTGTATTTATTTTATTTTCATTTTTATATCATAATTTATTTTAATATAAACTAATATTATTATTAATATCTAAATTTTTTTTTAATTTAAAATGTTAAATATACAATTTAATTTGTTATTTTATATTTTTTTTGATTAATTAATTTATTTTAAAAAAAATTATAGAAAGAATTATATTCAAATATAAGTAAAGAAAAATATTTTAATGAAGTTTTAATTTAATATTTAGTATAATAGAGTATTAATTAAAACTTTGATATTAATTTTTGATAAAGTTAATTAAAGATTCTATTATAAATAATTAATAAGGTTATTTTTAATATATTATTATAATTATTAGAAAAGGATTTAACTATAATCATAGAGCTAGAATGTTGATTTTTTAAATAATATTATAAAAAATTACTTCTTAATTAAAAAATAAAATAATAAATTTACAAACTTTATAAATTTTTATATTTTAATAAAATTATCTTAAATAATAATAACTTAGTAAATAGTAAATATTAGTATTAGAAGAATAATTTTAATAATTGTTATTAAATTTAAAGTGAGAGCTTTCAAATAGTAATAGAAATATTCTAATAGAAAATTGTTTTCTGTTATACAAATCAA